TTATTGTAAACAGATAACCATAAAATACAAATGAGTATTACAAAGACAGGTCCTATGGTTGCATGCATTGCTGTTCATTCAGTAGAATGGAGTATTCTGTTAGGTAGTGTATTTAAAAAAATAACAAAGTTAGGTTTAACATTTGTGTGATATAATTGTGAGTAACATTTAGGATATACAATTTATATGGTTCAGTTATTCAGTATTTATTTGGTTTTGAGTGAGTAAGTGAACTTTGAGAAGAGACTTGAATTTATAAACAGGTAGTGTTTCTTTTATATTTACAGGTAATGAATTCCAGATTTTAGGGCCTTTTATGTGCATTGAGTTTTTGCATAGCGTGAGATGGACACGAGGAACATCAAAGAGTGATCTGTGCCTTGCATTATGGTCATGTGTTCTGTTGAGGTTGGCAAGGAGATGTTTGAGGGGGGGTTAATATCAGAGTTAAGTGTTCTATGTATGTAATAAGTGCAATAATAAGTATGGATGTTTTGTATGGTGAGTAGGTTGAGTGTTTTGAATATTGGTGGAGTGTGCTGCCTGTAGTGAGAATTTGTTATCATTCTAACTGCAGCCTTTTGTTGGGTAATTAGTGGTCTGAGATGGTTAGTTGTTGTTGAGCCCCATGCACAAATTCCATAGGTGAGATAGGGGTAAATAAGAGAGTGATAAAGGGCCAGGAGGGCTGACTGTGGAACATAGTACCGTATCTTCGATAGTATGCCTACAGTCTTGGAAATTTTCTTAGAAATTTGTTGCATATGTGTATGAAATTTGAGTCTATTATCGAGGTGGATTCCTAAGAATTTTCCCTCTGTTAGCTTTGTGATAGGTGATCCGTTTATCGTTATGTTAAGAGGTACATCTGTAGCTCTGCTACCAAACTGAATGAAGTAGGTTTTGTCAATGTTTAGTGTAAGTTTGTTAGTCCTCATCCAGGTAGATATTTTCTGTAATTCGGTGTTTACAGTATTGGCTAGCGTGACTGGGCTCGGGTGAGAGAAGACGTATGTGGTGTCATCTGCAAAAAGTGTGGGTTTGTGTAATTGCGAAGCATTTGGTAGGTCATTTATGTATAGGAGAAAGAGAAGAGGGCCAAGGACACTTCCCTGTGGGACACCAACTGTAATTGGTTGTGCGGAAGAGCTTGCCCCATTTGCGTACACATATTGGCTTCTGTTGCTGAGGTAAGACTTGAGGTAGTTGAGGGAGTGCCCTCTAATACCATAGTGTGACAATTTTACATGGAGCAAGTCATGGTCAACTGTATCAAAAGCTTTACGTAAGTCAATGAAGATCCCCAGTGGGACTTCTTTTTTCTCTATTGCAGTGTATATATGTTCTAGCATGTGTATAATAGCATCATTAGTATTTTTATTAGGCCTGAATCCAAATTGGCAGGGGTTGAGAATGTTATGGGAGATGAGGTAGGAGTAGATTCGTTTATGAATTAATTTTTCGAAGATTTTTGAGAGAGGGTGTAAACTGGATATTGGCCTATAGTTATTCAACTCTGTTTGGTCTCCTCCTTTATGGATCGGGGTGACCCTTGCTATTTTGAGAACTGTAGGGAAGGTGGAGGATTCAATGGATTTGTTAAAGAGTGTTGCAATGATTGGTGATAGTACTTGTGACGCTTTTTTGTATATAAAGGGTGGTAAGGTATTTAAATCTCCTGCCTTGTTTTTCAGTGCGTTGATAATAAGGGAGACTTCGTATGGGTTAGTCGGAGCTAGGAACAGTGTGTTCGGGTAGTTGCCAGTGAGGTAGTCATTTGGTGGGGTATCTGAGCTTGGGATATTATTGGCAAGGTTTTGACCTATAGTGGAGAAGAAATCATTGAGTCTGTTTGCTGTTTCTGTTGGTGGGAGTTGGGGTTCATCTGATTTTGCTAATTTTGTTTCGCTATGTCGTGATATCTTTTTTGTTCCCAGAATTTCTGATAGGGTCTTCCAGGTCTTTTTTATATCACCTCGTAAGTTGGATAATCTGTTCTCATAATACAATTTTTTTGCCCTTCTTATCAGGCTGGTTAGGATTGACGAGTAACGTTTTGTTTGGTCTCTGGTTATGTGACCCATTCTGTACTGTTTTTCATATCAGTGTTTTGTATTTATGGATTTGAGAATGCTGGGTGTTAGCCAGGGACTGTTCAGTCTCTTAGCTGTCATCTGTTTAGTTTTTTTAGGGCAGTGCTTGTTATAAAGGTATTGGGTCTTTTTTAGAAAATTATTAAAACATTCGTCAATATCTGAAAAGATTTCTAGCTCAGTGTGCCAGTCAATGTTTGTTACTGCTGTTGATAGAATGGAAACTATATTATAAAAATTGAGGTGATTTTGATTAATTTTACTATAAAAAGAACCTGGAAATGGAGCACAAAGTACGGGAAATGTTTGATTTTTTGCCGATGTTCAAAAGTAAACAAATGATGTCGTTGTCCAATAAATGTCCAAATAGCCATTCTAATATGCAGTCATGAATGGGTTGATGTAATTTTTACAATTATTATGGTATTGCAGTAGTCTGCATAACAGTAAATCTTCTATTTTTTGTTTGAATAAAATTTCAAAATAAAAAGCAAGAGTAATATCAGAGGGGCCTGGAGACATGACTGATGAACAAAGAAAATGTTATTTTAGAGCCAGGAATGTCTGCATTGTTCATTCTGGTCCTTATTTTTAAATTGTCATATTTTTTAATTTTCGTGAAATTGGCCAAATTGCAAATTTCTGACCATGTTATTGGGTAGTTGAAATTGGTAAATGGGCAGTTTCTTGTACTCAATCGATGGAAAAAATGGAGTTCTGAAGAAATAGGTATGAGTTTGGTTGACTGGAATAATGGAATTAGCCGAAAATAGGGCTCAAAGTGGGCAAAATCGCCAATTTGTAAATATCGCCGAGGTTGCTAACTTCGCGAGAGCGTAATTCCGTCAGTTTTCCATCAAATTTCGTTTTTTTTGGTGTCTTTACAATCGGAAAAAGATTCTCTATCATTTCATAAGAAAAAATAATTTATTTTTTTTTTTAAATTTTGCGACACCAGGAGACACCTCAGGATTGGGGGTTGCGGCAGTCAAAGGGTTAAGGAAAGCAAAGGTTGGTTTGAAAGATTTAAGAATCATAGTGGCATACACAGTGTGATAAGGCCTGTTTTGGAAGAAAATGCCGAACAAGACCTACATTACTCAGGGGGAAAATGCACTCCCAGGACACAGTGTCTCATCAGTTATTGCTACATCTTCAATAAAGGTAAGTGTCATTTATTCTTCATTTAGTAGAGTAGAAAATGTATATTTCGTGTGGTAAAAACTTGTTTTTTTCATACTTTTGGGTGTCTTGCACTTATTAATTCAACCTACGATCATTTCGTCTTACGGTGGCTCTCAGGAACAGATTAATATCATAGGTCGGGGGACCATTGTATACTCAAAAATTCTAGAGGCTTCAAATCAAGTGGGAGAAAGCTGGTAGGCCCACATGTGAGAGAATGGGTCTGTGTGGTCAGTGTGCACAATAGAAAAAAAAATCCTGCAGCAAGCAGTGCACGAGGAATAAAAAAATTTCAACCTTTTTTTTGGATTAAAATGTCAACTTTGAGGTGTATTTTCATATATTTTATTTTGGTTATATTCTTGTTTGGATGTTGATGAGTTACAGTGAGTACATTAACCCTCAAAGTGTCCAAACACTGATCTACATTCACTCGCGTAGCACTCCAAACATTGATCTATGTTCAATTTTACATGCTTTCTTATGTAAAAAAAAAATAGATCTATGTTCAGAGTGCTAGGCGAGTGAACGTAGATCTATGTTTGGACAGTTTAAGGGTTAATTACAGTTTTAAATTTAGCCTATATAACTTACATAATTACAAATAGTAGTACAGTTTGGGTTTATTTATACTATGGAAATATTTCAATGGAACAGTTTAAAAACAATGTACGTTGGATTGTGTGAAGCCAGCAGTAGCAGCCTGGCTGATCAGGCTCTGATCCACCAGGAGGCCTGGTCACAGACCGGGCCGTGGGGGCGTTGACCCCCGGAACTCTCTCCAGGTAAACTCCAGGTAATAACAGGCAATAACAAATAATTATATGGACATTGATGTATTACAGTGGGTACAGTAATTATAGTTTAAAATTAGTGTATAAAATTGACATTATTACAAATGGAATTAAGGGTTAATAACCATCTTGCTGGACACAAATTGCTCACATCAATTACCAACTACTGCCTCATACAATGACCATCCAGGCATAACCATCAAATAAAACACACAAACAAAGCACAAACAAAACAAAGACACAGACACACACACAGTGTGGGGAGCATCAACATCATCTCTATCAGTGAGTGTGAGCAATGACCAGGTCCTGATGGGCCAGGAGCTGAGACCTAACCTTGCAGCCACACACAGTACAGACAAGTACATATATACATACACATTTCCTTCAGAAGCAACAACATTTCTCTGGAGTTTTAACATGACAACTGACATGATACAGCTCACTCAAGGTACTAAAACACTGTTTACAATAAAGACTTGTCACTATATCACATAAATGTTAAACCTAAAACCCAATCTAACTTTATTATTTTTTAAATACACTACCTAACAGAATACTCCATTCTACTGAATGTACAACAATGCATACAACCATATGACCTGTCTTTGTAATACTCACTTGTACTTTATAGTAATCTGTTTACATTAAAGTTTTATCACTGATGTCATCATTGCTTAGTTCATCTTAAGTTAATTTTAAGCCAGCCCGTAATGCTATGCATAGTATAAGTGGCTTTGGCATGCTGCTCTTATCTGTATTTTTTGTACCTCTGTATGTGTGCTCAAATTTTTAAATAAATAAATAAATATGTGTTATTAATATTCACAACAATAATACAAGAAAATTACAAAACACAAGATAATTATAATTTTTCATGCAAAAATGATTGTTACATAACGTCTCCAAATTAGCAAAAAAGTCTCACCTGACGATTATGAAGAGTTCGGTCTCCAGCTTCCTCGCTCCCGGGCAATGACAACTCAGGAACTAACACCAGTGAATTTGAAGTCTCGGCCTTTCGCACCTGACATAACACTCATGTTCAAAATCTCATTTTCATAAAAAAATATGAATCAAACAAATGGCTGAAAAAGATGTTAGGGGTTGTGGTTGGCAGTAATGTAAAACCAAGACAACAGTGCGTTAGTGTTTGCACAAAGGCTAATAGAATTCTTGGCTAAATACAAAGAAGAATATATAATAGACGTCCTGAAGTTATACTTAATATAACCTGGTAAGGCCTCAGTAAGACTATGCTTACAGGTGTGGTCTGTATATTACAGAATGGACATAAATGTAGTACAAAATTAGCAAGGAAGGATAACAAAGTTAGTCACAAGTATCAGAAATGTTTCCTACAAAGACAGGATGAAGGCACTGTGTTTGTTCTCTCTGGATAAACACACAATTACAACAATATAAATCAAGTGTACAAAGAGAAAACAACAATAAACAAAAATTATATAAAAACAGTACTGAAAATATCTAACTGAGACTGAACTTGCAGTAATGTGTTCAAGTTGTGGCTGAGTGGAACAAAGTTCCAAGTTGTGGCTGAGTGGAACAAAGTTCCAAGTTGTGGCTGAGTGGAACAAAATTCCAAGCTGTGGCTGAGTGGAACAAAGTTCCAAGTTGTGGCTGAGTGGAACAAAGTTCCAAGTAGCATCACTGCTGCCATGAGTGGGTGTGAGTTAGACAGGCCAGTAGGTATGTTGCAGTGGTCCACTAATCTTAAGAGGTGCAGGAGGGCCCCGCTTATACAGCAGGTTAGGTACTGAGCTACCGCTGTAAAGTGAATCATAACCTTTTTTACTTTCAAATTCATATAAAACCCTGATAACATGTTTGCACTATCATATATTAAGTGAGCAACATAGCTAGGTCTAAAAAATGCATATACAATACACACATTACTTGCCTTAAATTATTTTCATCCATAGCTTATAGCTAGTGGTGAATATATTTCTTGTAGAAAGTCTGACTAAATGAAGAATGAGTATAATTGGAAAGCGCTGTATCAGCGAGGCGCTGTAAAGTGGGACTTGCCTGTACACAGTTAACAGAGTTTAGTTCGGGGACTCAGAGAACTATACTGCAAAGTTTCTTGAAAACACCATTTACCTTTTATAATACAAAACAACATACTGAAAACCAAATAAATTAAACTGAAAACTTTTAGCCACATACTGGCAAGTGCCTAATTATTCAAAACTCTATATATAAGTAAAAAACAAAACCTTTAAAAGTGGGCTGCTTGAATGTAGGTGAGTGTAGTAGAAATATTATTGTGATTAGAAAGGAAAAGAAGCTGGATGTTCCAGCTCTCAGTATAACAAAGCTAAAATGGGTAAGAGAATTTCAGTAGAAAGTGTAAATGGGATTAGGTCAGGTGTACCTGAGAATCATAGCTAAGCAAGAAGTGATATTATAAAAGGGAGGGAAGATGATTGTATAAATTCAAGAATTATGTGAATTAAGATAAGGGTGGGATGTGAGAAGTGGGTGATAGCAAGCATAATGCATCTAGGAAAGAGAGGAGTTTAGAGCAGAGAGATTTGGGAGATGTTAAGCGAGTGTTCAGGAAGTTTCGAACCATGCGAGAAAATTTTGTACGGACCTAAGTCCTGAAGTGAAAGAAACTGTTATTGAGGTAATATTAGGGAAGTTTGGAGTGCCAGGTGTAAATAATGATGGGGTTTCTAACTGAACTATGTACAGAAAGACGTTTGGTAATAGATAATGAATGTTATAAGAAAATGAGGTAAATAATTACACAAGAAATAATATAGCAGTTTGTTGGACTGTGTATTAGAAGATTAAATGTTCACTGATGGATTTCTAAATGTTCATGTGTTCAGAGAGCCAAATGACAATAAGAAAAAGTTATAATTTAAATTTAAATTTAAATTTATTTATTTCTTTGTAAGTATAGTATAATGGGTTGCAATGCAAAGAGAGCCTCTATTATGCCTAGGCATTATAGGACGACTTAATTTATTGGCTTACTGACTATTTAACACTAAAGAAATTTATCATAGTTGTACAGTAGTTTTATTAACTGTAAGTGAATCTAATTTATATAAACCAAACGATATATTCATATATTCAAAAATGCTTTTTGTGAAACATGATTCAATTATTTATTTTTTTTTATTATCACACCGGCCGATTCCCACCAAGGCAGGGTGGCCCGAAAAAGAAAAACTTTCACCATCATTAACTGTTAGTTAAAAACAAATGAGAAGTGTTGTTAGATGGGGAGTAGGAGATATAGGGAAGATGGAGGGAATATTTTCACAAACTGTTAAAAGGATGAAGAGAGGGAATCTGTGATTTTATGCATTGACTAGGTAGGTACATCACTGAGGAGGAAGAGGCAGATATGAGTGTGAGGAAGGTACTTGAGGCAGTGGGTAATATGAAATGGAACAAAGCTGCTGAAATTGATGGGATCAAGACAGAAATGTTAAAAGCAGGTAGGGATATAGTTTTGGAATGATTGGTGATTCTATTTAATAAATGTATGAAAGAGAGGAAGGTACCTAGGGACTGTTAGAGAGCATGTATAAGTCTTTGTTAACCCTTAAACTGTTCAGACGTAGATCTGCGTTCGCACACATAGCACTATGAACGTAAATCTACGCTCAAATTTACATTGTTTCTTATGTAAAAAAATGTAGATCAACGTTCAGAGCGCTAAGCGTGCAAACGTAGATCTACGTTTGGACAGTTAGAGGGTTAAAGGCAAAGGGGACATAAGAGAGTATAAGAATTATAGGGAAATAAGCCTGTTAAGTATACCTGGTAAGGTATATGGTAGGTAGAGTTATTTTTGAAAGAATTAAGAGTAAGACAGAGAGCAGGGTCGCAGATAAACAAGGAGGCTTCAGGAAGGGTAGGGGGTGTGTAGACCAAGTGTTTACAGTGAAGCATAAAAGTGAACAGTATATAGATAAGGGTGAAGAAGTTTTTGTTGCATTTATGGATTTGCAAGACATATAGGGTAGGTAGGCAGGCAGTATGCTGGTAGACACCAACCATCAAGGAAAGTATTACCGTCCTGCCAAATGTGTGTGAAACAGAAACCTCTAATTGCTATACACAATGGAAGGACTGCTGGTCAAGTTCTTTATTAGCAGCTGTTTACCATTTTGTCTTATATCAGCTACCATAAATTCACTTTACTTTTATCCCTTTGAGGGGCTTTTGGTATTTACACCCAACTGTTATGCTCCTTTGTACATATATGTATCATACTAAAATAAAATTATTATGATTATTATTATGATTATTATGAAATGAAGAAGCACCACCTCTTGCTAGCTGGAGACTTCAACATTAACCTTGGCCTAACAGATGACCAACCACCAACTGATTTCATTAACAGTATCAACAACACACTACTCATTCCAGCTATGACAAAACCAACCAGGCTAACTGAGACACGTGCAACCATAATTGACCACATTGACAAATATAGTAGCTCCCCTTGAATCAGGGATAATCACAGAGCACTACTGACCACTACCCCACCTTCCTCTTAACAAACATTTGTAAACAACCATTGGAATATAGTAGGTTCTCATTTCGACTCCATGATGAGGCAGCAATAAGTAACATCACTGCAGAGCTAAGTTCAGTTGACTGGCCTACAGAATTTCCCAGTGCCAATAGTAACGATGAATGGATAGACATATTTCTAAACAAAATACATAGACTGTACAAATATTATCCCATAAAACTACACATATCACAAATAAAAAACTAGGGTGACCATGGCTTACTAACAGCATTTTAAGATCCACTGATAAAAAACGTCAATACGAGAAACAATATAGACAGGGCTTAAAAACCAAATATTTTATTAAACACTATATGTCAGTCCTCACCAAACTAGTAAGAAAGTCTAAGCAACTATACTATTCTAACAGACTGAATGAAACGAGAGGAGATATATAAAAAGACCTGGAAGATATTCTCTTAGATCCTGGGCACCACAAACTGAACAACGCTAGTAATATTGTCGTAACTAAACCAAATGAACCTACTGATACAGCTAACATGATAAATGACTTTTTCTAAACCATAGGATCAAATCTCGCCAGTAAAATTCCAGGTACCAATACCTGAGCGAGTGATAATCTAGACGGAAACTTCCCAACATTCCTTTATCTTTCACCAACCAAGTCCACTGAAGTCACCATGATTAATAATTCACTAAATAATAAATCAGGAAATATAGCTCATGTCCCACCACTATTGTACAAACGAGTGGCTCATGTCCCACCACTATTGTACAAACGAGTGGCTCATGTCCCACCACTATTGTACAAACGAGTGGCTCATGTCCCACCACTATTGTACAAACGAGTGGCTCATGTCCCACCACTATTGTACAAACGAGTGGCTCATGTCCCACCACTATTGTACAAACGAGTGGCTCATGTCCCACCACTATTGTACAAACGAGTGGCTCATGTCCCACCACTATTGTACAAACGAGTGGCTCATGTCCCACCACTATTGTACAAACGAGTGGCTCATGTCCCACCACTATTGTACAAACGAGTGGCTCATGTCCCACCACTATTGTACAAACGAGTGGCTCATGTCCTCTCACCCACCATTACATTACATGTACTCTTTAACAAATCACTAGAAACCAACTATTTCCCGACATCACTCAAGATGGCAAAGGTTACACCAGTACACAAAGATGGCAAAGGTTACACCAGTACACAAAGATGGCAAAGGTTACACCAGTACACAAAGATGGCAAAGGTTACACCAGTACACAAAGATGGCAAAGGTTACACCAGTACACAAAGATGGCAAAGGTTACACCAGTACACAAAGATGGCAAAGGTTACACCAGTACACAAAGATGGCAAAGGTTACACCAGTACACAAAGATGGCAAAGGTTACACCAGTACACAAAGATGGCAAAGGTTACACCAGTACACAAAGATGGCAAAGGTTACACCAGTACACAAAGATGGCAAAGGTTACACCAGTACACAAAG